TGAAGAGGTCCAATAATATAAGTCAACATAACGCAATCAATATGCTCGGGTAATTTTAAATTTTACACGGTATTTTTGTCCTCTTCCATATCAAATTCTAAGTAAATTTGCGATTTGGTAAATACATATACGGGGTTTTTTTCAGTAATTGTCCTATACTTCGAAGGGTCCTCCCTCAGGTATTTTAAAGAAAAAACATCCTTTTTTATAGCCTAATCTGATGCCATATAAGACAGAAATGAGTTGTAATATCTGGACATAAATAAAATGATGAACAAGAAATGTAAAATAAGCATATGTATTTTTAAAAATATATCTGACAGGACCATTCTTCAATAATTTTAGAGAAAAAATGTAGCATAAACAACAAGTCAAAGTCATAATTTATATATTATAAAAAAAATTAAAATTGTTTTTATTTTTTTCATTAAATTTGGTTAGTTCGTTCATAGATATAAGAAAGTGACTAAGTTATACAGATTCGTACTTTGCTTAGAATTTAATTATTTGGGGTTTTTGTTAGGAAAGATACTAGACAATATTTATTTATTTATTTATGTATTTATGTTTAAATCTAAAATAAAATTACAAATTATTTTTATTACCTACTTAAATTACCTAAAATTATTCACATAATATATCAGTATCACTATCGCTAACGTCGCCTGTTGTAATTATTATTTGTTCTATATTATTTGCTATATGGATATAAGATTGTTCTGCTTTTCTATATGTTTAACAGAATTTGCCCAACTTTGTGGAGGGATGTTAAAAACTTCGGTTTCTATAATATTGTTACGACGAATGGCAGATTTCAGTTGGTGCCAAACATGTTCAATGGGATTAAATATACACTGGTGAGGTGGAAGGAAGCCTTAAAACTGTATGTCCTAGATTTTTTGCATAATTATCACAGACGTATTCCTTTTGTAGGTTCAAGCTTTCTAGAACCTCAATTAATTGCTTTTTGGTATAATATTCGTAAAAATAAATGTCGTTATTATACATTTAGTTTTGGATTGTTGTTTTTGTGTCACATCAGGAAGGGGTATTAGTCAATTGCCTACTGTGATAACTTGCATTGTCCATTAGAATTACGTTATTAGGAGGAATGTTGGGAACTAGTTTGTTTTTAAACCAACTTTCAAATAAATCAGCGGTGGTGTCTTCATGGTAACCCAGAGAAGAATCTTTAACATTTTTCGCAAACAGAGAAAGTCCATTTGGAATCCAACCATCTTTTTGATGGCGCGTTTGTTTTTCACTTATCAGGGGTAACATAAGTGTCGAACCAGGTTTCATCCAAGTAAATAATTGGCCTTTGTTTGTTCTCTGTAAATCCTAATTTTTTCTAGATATTCCAGTCGCCATTTCCGAATTCTAAAAGATTCCATTAAAACTTGCCTTTTGTCAATTTTTTTAAATCTAAAACCCATGTGTTGAATACACTTCCATAAGGTAGTTTTGCCACATTTAACACCGGTTTCATGTTTTTGAAGCCTCCTAATTAAGATATCTAATGTATTCACGCTTTGTTCCTCGTATAACTGGTAAATTTTAGGCCGTATTATATCTTAATCACTTTCAATCTGTACTCGAGAAAATGTCAGCATCGCTTCTTTTTTTCCTCGCTGAAAGGGGATTATTTACAATTTTCCATACAGCTGATGTTTCTTCTAAAGATGCTTGCTTGCTGGCACCACGTTCAATGAGAGTCAAATAAACATTGTTTATAACTTTTTTAGTCTCAATAGAATAGTGTTTTCTACATTTGGGCGGGAGCATCTCCTGAGATACATTAGACTCGGACATATTTTGCATAATTCTCACACGCTGTAGTATACCAAACCAAATAATATTTAACACTGGTGAATATCGACCATTTATTTTGTATTGTATTGTATTCCTGAAGGGGCGAGTTAAGAACAGAAGATAAAGAAGTCAAGGAAAACAATAAGAGCTAGCGAGAACTACATATTTCGAATATTTATTTTTGTTCATTACATTACATTAAATAATTAAAAAAAAAGAAGTTTTAATTGGTTTCCGTTCGGCTTAGGTGCGTCCATTTTCATAATTTGGCAATGATAAAAATATGTACTTATTAAGGGCGCTAAGCGATTCCGGAAATACTTAAAAACCAATAGCGTTTTCGTATTGCTGGAATTTTTTAGGTGAAACCACGAATGCACTGCGACCTTGTTTTCTTCTAATGCGGCGGTTGATGTAGATAACTTAATCACCTATTATAATTCGTTGATAAAGGAACAGCACCACGAACGACACAAACATTTTTTTCCGAGAAATTTGGCGCCAGTAAATCATTTTTTTCGGGAAGTGTGTCACGTAAAAAAGCGTGTTATTTTTTTTTTGTTTCGACGCAGCGGGAAATACCGGTGATATTTCTGGAGGACTTTTTAAAGATTACCGCCCGGCTGGGAATATTGTTGTCGCCAATGGCGACGATAACAACTTTTGGTCATTCACGCGAGACATTTGGAAAAGTTCATAAATTAACAACATTAGTGGCAACAGCATGAAAAATTCCTATCCGACTGAGATACGGTCCTAAAAACGGGCTAATTTTTGAGTGATTGGATATTTTCCTCACTTTACGCAATCTATATGCCTTAACTTCTATCAACAAAGTAGTCAGATTCAATTTGAAAATAAAATTTCAACATGACTCTCATAAATTAGTTCTTCGTCATAAGCTTATGACTAAACCAACAAATTCCATTCATTCTTTTCATGATTGGTTTTGGTTATTAAATTAAAACTGCTAATAATTCTCTTACGTTGTGTTTCGTCTCTTTATCTCTAGGTCCAGATTCTGCTATTAGTGATTGTTAGTATATAGTAACTGATAAATGTTAATTGTTGTTTCCTTTGCTGTATAGGGCTTTTGAAACTAAGAGTTTTTGTCTCCAATTAGGAGAGGTCCTACCTCAATATCGGTTTTTGTATTTTTTTTTACAATAAAGTAATTTATTACCCTATTTTTTAAATGTAATGTTACGATTATTTTATTATTAAACCCTTAAGCAAAACATTTTTACACATTTTTTGCTTAATAATTTGTTTTTTAAAGCTCATAAAAATTGTTTAATTTAGTTTAGTTTAGCTTATTTATATAACCACGTAGCGTGTCAGTTTGTCCAATTATTATTATTAATTGATTAGAATTTATAATTAAAACATTCATCATTGCCACAGAAGCGATTATTAACAAACACTGGCTTGATTGCCTTTTGAAAAGCTTTTTCACTCAAGGCTTGAATATTTGTTGGAAGACCATTGCAAAATGCTAGATTTAAAGGGTTATTTTTGATTTTATTTAAACGATAACGAGGTACTCGCAGAAGATGAGAATTTCTATTACAAAAGTTATGAATGTCTAAGTGTAAAATATAATTTCTATGGATTTCATTAAGGCTACAATATATACAAATTGAAGATACTGGCATTATTCGAAGACTAGCAAAATAGGTTGTTTCTGGGTAATTGAGATTTAATAGAATTGGAGTCTAAAAACCCTTATTGCGTTTTTAGTTTCGCCGCCTCAAAAATATGGACATGATATAGTTGCACGGGGAATGGTATATATTTAGATTAAAATAATCACAATTTAAAATAAAATTTAGAGTTTTAAGTTTTTCTGATTTGCGAAAAACTCAGCAAAATATATACGCATTCAGAACGATGATAGCGTGCAAATACGGCAGGTAGTCTTTGCACAGGTAATTGCAAATTACCAAATGCGATGCAATGAAGGGCAGTAAAGACGGCAATATCGAAGACATTAGAAGTTCCAGGAAATATTATCCGTGCCAATCACTTTATATTGCCACAAATTTTTAATTATTTCGGGTAAGCCTTTTGGATTTCAGAGGAAGGATTGTATTATTGTATTGTGGTATAATTTGTATAGGTACTATAATTGGAATGGATTAACCAATGTTGTCAAATCAAAACTGTATAACGAAGTACTTTATTGTTGCACTAACCACAGAACAGAATATGAAACTATACTATATAATACTAATAATAACAAATACTTTTTGTAATTGATAGATACATTTTCAGACTAAAATGTAAATGAACCAGCTTGGAAAGAAGTAGCTAGTAATTCATAATTGGACATTTAATAAAAAGTAATTGCCTAATTCTGATAAAACAATGTGACCAGGTTGCGGATGTGGAGAGATTTATAATTTTAGTTATTCTTCGACCTTTTTATTTCATAAGAAAATGTATAAAAGAGAAATCGATATCTTACTGCTTGGTCCCTTCTTAGCCGCCGATTTGAGGAATAACGACGGCGACGTCGACATGCGACTTTTTATTATTCCGTCCTCAATAAAAAATCAACCGATCCCACATCAGCGTTCCATCCAAATATTCCATAAATCCATATACGTTGGTTTCATAATCCATTAGCAGTTTCGTCATTTCTGAAGCTCCGTTTTATTACAACTTTTATTATATTACCTTAAAAATAACCATTAGATTTTAATACTGGATCAGTTAAAGCTTCGATGGTTACGTCGATGTTGCCACGTTCTGCATTCCCCGTAACATACGGTTCATTTGCTTTACAATGTATTTGTTACTAAGAGATTTTATTTATATAAATTTATTGAGCTACTAATTTTAGACTATCAGAACTACCTTTTGTCCACGTATTTTCACAGTTATTTGAACAATAGATTCAATTTATGTATTTAAAATAACTTTGTTAACATTTGGCAATGATAATAAAACAAATATCAATTTGTGAATATATGTATTTTTTAGTAAGAAAATCTAAAAAATCGCACCATCTAAATATATCATTATATACATCAAAATCGTCTTTAGTGTACTATGCTACATATACTGTATAAAGGTTCGCAAATAATTTCGGTCACTCTCAAGAAGCTTTCGTTCTAACGGCAACGTCGCTCGCAAAACCAATTCGGAAAGCTCGATCGCACCCCCATTGGTGGGGGTAAACGGGGCGGAGCCGGGCAATCACCCACGGGGGTGGGAATTTTAAGTTACACTGGCGAGAACGTCGAACGTTTGTCACAGTCGATCTCCATTACCGATCGCAGTGGGTCGAGTCAGTTCGTCCGCCTCATCATTTGTTTTGTAACCATAGTTACGTGACATTTGTTATTGTGACCGTCGTTGTTGATTTAGTTGCGCACATTTCCCACTTTTTATTAAATGGTGGGACAACTTTTGACGTTCTCTCATTCGAACACTAGTGCTCTACAACCGTTGCCTGGATATATGCAACAGCCCGTGGTAAATTCTGTAGCCGAAACGGAGCCGCAGTGCCAGTTGGGGATGATTGTTACAATGGTAAGTATTTAAAATTTCTGCATAAATTTTGCGTGACTACGAACATTTTAATTTTATTTAACACAAAAAGGTCCACAGTTTTTGCTTGTGTCTCATTGAAAGGAACTTATTTGTGCGCTCGTTTTCCCCAAGGTCCGCGCAACAATGTCCAGTGAAAATTTTCCGAATTGTTTTTTACAAAATTATTTTTAATTCTCCAAAAATAAAACTCACGTCTTGGCTTACCAAAAACTAGCTGGTTGTTTGTCGTAGAAGAAAAAAACAATCGAGTCATCATCATTAGTTAGTAAAAACATTATCTGCTTATCGCTGGACTCGTGCTGATCTTTTGCGTTTTTTTGTCTGATGGGTAATATAAAAGAAATCGATCTTTTGCTATATTGGATCAATCAAAAGTGGAACTCAGTGTTTTTTGTTTTATATTATAGAGGGTTATCTGGTTAAAACAATCTATTTAATGTTAATTTGGCGTTTTGCCTGATCAACCTAATCTTTATAAAACTAGTACAAAATGTCAGAATTGAATCGAACCCGTAATTTTGACTGCATAGAAAATAAAAAAGAATATTGCAAATGACGAAAAACTGAACAACAGAAAATGCAATAAATTGCCAACAATAATAGTGTATAGCGGATAAACAGAGCCTTCATGATATCATTTTTATTACCTATTGTAATTACTAGAAAACAGACATGATAGTTTCCTACACCCGCATGGTATTTCCCATGGTATGAGTGTTTCGAAAACATTAATCGTCGATACAAAGGTCATTTCCAAAGCTCCGCATAAATGAATCATCAATTTTTCCGCTCGCAATGTAGCCGATGCCCGTTTCCTTATCCGCATACTATTTTTGTGAAATCTTTGTGGCTCTCCTTCTCAAAAACATAACATAAACAAACAAGTTATTTTGATTACAGCTTTCTATATATAACGGGAGCTGCCGTTTCGGTTACGCAAATCTCTGTCTTTCGGTCTCTAAACAATTGGTCGTCTTACGTAAACAGTTAGCTTTTTTATCGCCGCTTTTTACTATCGCGCGTATTCGATCGTTCTAAACAAATTTAACGATAATATTTACGCTGCGTTCTTTCACAGAAACAGGAACCGATGGACGAGGCGAGGAACGATTCCGGTATTAATTCCGGCAGCGATTGTCGCTCGGTATCGCCCGGGAGCGACAGGAGTATGGACTCGCTGCCCCAGACGCCTCAGAACCACGACAGGACAATAAGCAACCAAAATCAGTTCGCCAACAGGATGCTTCCAGATCCTTCGTGGTATAACAATCACTTTCTCGCGTCGCCCACCAACAGCAAGGGGCGCGACGCCGCTCAGAACGGCGACCACAATTCTCAGTCGCCCAAGTTGGATTCCGGCGACGAGACCGCCGAGTACGACGATCAAGGTATCAGGATTCCCAAGGTCAATTCTCACGGCAAAATCAAAGTGCACAAATGCAAACAGTGCGACTTTGTCGCGTACACCAAACTCGACTTCTGGGAGCATTCGAAGACTCATATCAAAGGCGATAAAATCCTCAAATGCCCCCGGTGTCCTTTCGTGACCGAATACAAACACCATTTGGAATATCACCTTCTCAATCACGCCGGGGCGAAGCCCTTCAAGTGTGACCATTGCGAGTACACTTGCGTCAACAAGTCGATGTTGAACTCGCACCTCAAATCGCACTCCAAGGTGTATCAGTATCGCTGCGCGGACTGCTTGTACGAAACCAAATATTGTCATTCGCTGAAGCTCCATCTGCGCAAGTACAACCACAAGCCGGCGATGGTGTTGAATCCGGACGGTTCCCCGAACCCTTTACCCATAATAGACGTCTACGGCACCCGTCGTGGGCCGAAGGTGAAGAAGCAACAGTCGACGAGTCCCTATCCGGAGTCGTTGTCTCCGAAATTGGAGCCGCCTTTACCGTTTAATCCTTTGGTGGCCCCTTTGCTGACCCAGAACCAGTTGCCCTTTCCGTTTCCGTTCGTCGGCGGGTTTTCCGGTCCGATGCCGAACCTCACCAATCCTGAGTTCGTCGAGAACGTGCAAAGGTTGTTCAGGCAGAGGATCGAGGAGTTCGCGAAACAACAGGGCTCCGGGTCCAACGAGAACGGGGTTTTGGACTTGAGCAAGCCCAACGATCACTCTTCGGAAGACGAGTCGGAGTCGACGACGGTATTTGGCAACGTCGAGGTGGTGAGCGACGTCAGAGATGCCGACTCGTTGGACAAGACCCTGAAGGAGGAGTCGGAAGATCGTAACGTCGAGAACAACAACAAATACGACTTCGCGTGTCAATATTGCGGCATATGTTTCGACGACGAGGTGCTGTTTAGGATCCACATGGGTTATCACGGATACAGCAACGCCTTCACGTGCAACATGTGCGGCGAGGAGTGCAAGGATAAGGTCACGTTCTTCTTGCACATCGCGAGGGCGGCGCATTAGGCGCAATTTCGTCCTTCTCTCCACTAGTCACTAGTGCAATTCTTTTCCCTCGAGAATGTTCTTTTGTACATACAAATGGTGACCGCCTCATCTCCCACGGACGTTCAATCTGTAAATAAGATATTATTTATTTGTGTTTTGCCAGTCGAATATCCTCCCGTAGATCATACCAAATTTAAGGCTGTTGACGTGTAGCTACACTCCAAAGAACGCTTAGTTTAGTAGAAATCGTTTCGCTAGTAAATTATTTTAGCGCTTATCAAAAGTTCCATCGACTCAAACCTTACTTAGTTGTGTGCCGTTTCTTACGGTCCTGACAAGTTCTTACACTTAAGAACAGGCTATGTATAAGTTGTAGGAGAAAAAAAGACTATTTTTTTATCTGTAAATTATTCGCGTCCCCCAGATTGCCATATTCGCTGTGTTGTGACTTTTAATTAATTAATTTAAGAATGTTTGTATAACGATGTGATTTTTTTAAGTATTTTTCATGAAGTTGTGTTTTTTGGGACCATTTCATGGCCTTAATAAGACTGATGCTGTATACTTTGTGTTTTTATCTAGGCTAGAGCTCAACAATCAAAATACGTTGTATATAGTAGATGTATTTTTACGCGACTGAAGCATTATATAACTTGCTGAATATAATTTTGCGTTTTATTTCATTAAAAAAAAAATAAATTTGGTATATTATTTACTTAGCAACGATTAAGAGTTGGCGCGTATAGGCACGTTGAAAGATTATTAAAAAAATTAGTTGTAGCTGGCGCCTTGTTTTAATATCAGTCAACAAAAGATAGGGATATTCGTCGAAATGATTTCGCAATCTGCACGTTTTTTTAATTTATGCAAGTGTGGCAAATCCTAAATCGTTTTTAATGGAAAGTTTCAGCACTGAAAACATTTACTTTCCGAAATGGTTTATAAACACGTTCAGCTTGTTAAAGTGTTAATCAAAACAAAGCAAAATGTATTATACCCACTTCATTCCTTGTAGACTATAGGCAACTCTTGCAAATAACCCTACACACAAAACTTAAGTTTCTATAACCTAAAATGTAAAAAACAATTCGAAATACAGAATGAATTGATTGATTGATTGAAGGAATTACAACGATTCTCTTTAAGACCGCTTGCGATAAGACGATGAATGAAGTTTAACTTTTTTTCACCATTTTGTTTTTGACTTTGTGTTTTGAGCATTTTATTTTTAAAAGAAATAAGTTTTAATAATATGGTCCATAATTATACCAAAGAAAATTCAACGCACTGAATCTGCATGCCGAGATCTAAAAACAGTTTTTACATTACGAAGAATTTTCTTTCATATTTTGAATCACATTTTTGAGAACACAATTCAATTAATGACTTGGCGAATATTTACTATGTTAGATTAAAATCTGGAATATTTATCATTTTTACTAAAAAATATATAGAATTTAAAAAAACAAGTTATCGGTCACGTAAGAGGATTTTCAATGTCAATGGTGCAAATATTTTTCAATGGAATCGTACTAAGCCTTTTTAAATTGTGTCATTTTTATGAAACCGAAAAAGGTGCCGATAAGAAATAACGAAAAACAATCGTTTTATAGGTGAAATTACGTTAAAAATAGTGCGGTGAATACGTGGGTTAGTAAATGCCTAATGCTGGCAAATTCATACATTATGTATATAATTTTATTTTATTTTTTCTTACATTTTTTGATTTTATAAGTAACAATGTTATAACATGGTTGTTATGCGTACCAAAGCTTCTCAGTGGTTTGTAACACATCCGAGCGTGGAATTTTAAGGAGAACATTTTTTCTCGTTAGATGATCAATAAAATAAATTAAAAAGTGTTGTATCTCACTTGACAAAATATTGTCCACATGTAAATGCCTTAAAATGAACACAACGTATTGACCAAGATATATAGGCGAATATATGAAGCACTTCCTTTATGAGAATGAGCTAGATAATTATTCCCTTCAGTACTAACACACCATCGAGGGACTCCTTGTATAGATAAGCGGGATCAGCAGCGATCGCCATCTGCTCGAGGATGCGTCGCAATAGTCAGTTTAGTTCAACTATAGTTGTCGTCAAGAGAGTGTCAGACTAATCGTCTTAGTTATCAATCATTAATGGGAAGCCAATATTTGATTGGTGTATGTCTACTACGTCTAATAACATGTTTGCCACAGAACGGATGATAAGTTTAAAGTGATGTGATCATGTTAATAAAATTTACCTTGTTGCCATAAATATACGTTTTTGCTAATAGTGAATAATAGATAGATATAATTAATAAAAATAATAAATTAATTAACACCAATTGTTATTTTCTTTGGACGTTTTTCCTTTGCATTTCTCAATGGTTTGACATTTAACCTCATTTTACCATATCCATTTTACAACAAGGAGGTTGCGTCTTTCCACGGTGCATAATGGAAAAAAAGTGGTTCCCCTTCCATAGCTAAATATTGAAATAAAAATTAATTGATTGAAATTTGATTTCACAATAATCTAAATAGCATTACGTTATACTTTTTATAAAACTTCTGGATTCATCCTGCGTCGGTTTTTGTTTAGTCGAACTAGTTAACGTTTCGCCAATAATCATGTTGGCTTCTTCAGAGCTTGACTGAAAAAAAAACTAGTACGACTCAACAAAAACTGACGCAGGAGGAATCCAGAAGTTTTATAAAAAGTATGAAAGTAGCCTGTGAAATTTTCTTCAAAAAAGAGCATTACGTGGGTCATAAAAGTTATTATAAATGGCGTCACTTTAAAGGCATTATAAAAAGAGTTGTTACTTAGCTGTTACTTGGCGTACTTGCTACTGCGGATTTGAAAATAATTGCGAACACCAAAATATATTAAAATAGAGGTTGTTTTAAAAAATGAGACAGGTCAACTATTTTCCATCCCATGAGTTAAAGAAAAAAATGCAGTGTTGAAATGTTGTGTAAATTACGTCATAAGACAGTAAATGAGTAAATAGCTGATCACACTGCAGGTAAGGTTTTGTTGTGCAATACTTAACCTTGCAATATGGTTTCCTTTAATTTTTTTTGTATTTGCCTTACCTCTACAGTTTTATAGCTGACTTCGGTATGTGGAATTCTGCTCGCCTATATTACAAAATTAAAAATCCACGTCACTCATTAACCTCACAACAAGCGGATTTGAAAAATATTTACATTTATAAACAAATGAGGATTACAATAATAAATAAACGTTTACTTACCATACATGCACAAAATTGGAAAAACTATATGTATCTACAACTAAAAACTCATGATAACTCATAAGAAAAAGGCAGTAATCGTATACAGAGACGAAAAAGTAAAAGACACGAATAAGGGAAAATGGCAGAATATAAAATATGAATACTAAAATGTTATTGAGTTAATCATATTATTGATAACAGTGAACCAAAGGTCGCCAGCTTTCGTTTAAATGTGCCGCAGGATGATCTAAAGTTGAAAAGACAGTTTGAAAGTTTCAATCCAAATTATGATTTCATTGTGAGTACCTATTTCTTATTTGAGGTTAGAATTCAGTCTTGTTCTACTTAAGGGTCGCTTATTATTATTGTCCTCTCTGTTTGTCTTTTAAAATAACTTATTTAGTGAGCACGCTTATTTAGTGGCATGTGTGCCACGTGTTGTCATCATACATTTGGACAATCGCGATTGTTGAGTTTGTTAGATATATATAAACGGATTTCTACGAGTGTCGCCGCCTCTCCGTTCCCAGTTTCCAATGTCATTTCTCCAACTTCTTCTTGGCCTTCATCTTCTGCGTTTTTCTGAAGGTATGCATCCCATTAATCTTGATCAGCTTGTCTCATTCTTTTTTATGTGTCCCAACAAAGTCAGTTGTTTTCTCTCCATGTGGTCAATAATTTTTGTCTCAATGTTCATGTTACGTGTGATCTTCGTATTTCTTATCTTCTCTCTAGAAAATCGATGTCTGTGGCCAGCAATTTTCTTCTATTTCTTTGACTCACATTTCATACTTCTGACCCATATGTTATCGTGCTGTTTACGATTATTTTGTAATTACGAAGTTTGGTTTCTCGCCTGATGTTTCTCGCATAAAGTATAGAATTAAGCGCTCCGATGGCTTTTCTACCTTGTGGTATTCGTTGTTGGATTTCATCTTTACTATTTTCTTGCTTATTGAAGATCACTCCCAAATATCTAGCCCCGTCCACGTCTTTTACTGCCTCATTATCAACTATTATTATTATTAGTTGACGCTTACCCCAATTTGTTTTAAGGCAAACCCGTTAATATTCTTCATTTAATTTACTAACCATATAGTTCAAGTGCTGCAATCACTATTTAATCGTTTGCAAAATGGAGAGTGTATAGAATGTCATCTCCCAAACGAGTGGTCTAAATATATATTAAATAGACTAGGATTTAGGCAATACCTTTATCTCAATCCTTTCGTTGTTTTGAAGAATTCGCCTTATGATGTTCCAATCTTGAGTACAGCGTATCATATTGTTGGACTGTCCTGATTAATATTGATCTAATACTTAGATTTTCCACTGGGTTCTATAATTTGATTACAGGGATGCTATCATACGCTTTTTCTAGATCTATGAACGCTATATTTCTACTTCGCCGAGATTGCTTTTCTGGGGCTATTTTCCTAATAAACAGGTTGTTCGTTGTCCAAAATACTACTTGTTCATCTGACTGTGATATCGGCTTCTATTAGATTTATTAGAATCAAGGAATATATTCTTCCTAATATTGGGATAATTGCTATGTCTCTGTAATTTTTGGGATCATGTTTTTGAGTCGTTTTTAGGGATAACAGAAATGTTAGAGAAATAATTAATTATTTTTTTAGTTGATGGTGCATAATAGCAATTACAAGTTTAGTTTTCACATATTTTAATCCAATAAGTTTAAGGTAAAACTTCCAAGTATTGGCTGGTAACAAACATATCGCTATATTTTTAAAAACAACTTCCCTGTTAAAAGCTACAACAGTTTAAAGTCGACAGGTACTT